CGGGGGGGGGGGGAACCACACACAAAACACAAGTCCGCCTGGTGCTTTTGTCCTGTTTTCTTTCCTCCAACCCACTTCATGCAACTCGTTGTTGTTGTTGTTGTTGTTGTGTGCCTTCAAATCATTTCTGACTCATGGCGACCCTAAGGCAAACCAGCATCCGTAGCATAGTGGTTTGAGTGTTGCGCTGCAACTCTGGAGACCAGGGTTCAATTCTGCACTTGGCCATGAAAATCCACTGGATGACCTTGGGTAAATCACATGCTCTCAGCCTCAGGGAAAGGCAATGGCAATAGCAAATCTCCTCTGAACAACTCTTGCCAAGAAAACCCCATGATAGGTTTACCTTAGGGTTGCCACAAGTCGGAAATGACTTATAGGCACACAACAACAACCAAGTCCAGGCTGGTTTTATATAATCTGTATGACTGGCATCTAAAATTTCCCCCAAAGAAAAGGAAAAAGAGTTCTAATAATCTGTTACTGTTTCAGCACTCATTTAAGGGGACATAACTTCCTAGTGGCCTTAGGTACCGCCACAAGTTGGAAACTACTTGTTATGTTAATTGTCATGTTAACTTCAGTTAAAAATGTTAGTTTTCTGTGCACAGTGCACTGTTTTTGTGTGTGCAAAAGATGCTGTTTTCTGGGCAAAAGTCTGTGTTAGGTCCCAAACTGCAAAGATTCTCACCCATCTAGGATCCTCCTGATCAGAGTTTCCTTATCCTCAAGGAAATCCATTTTCAACCTTTTTTTTTTTTTTAAAGAATATTTTCACACATTCTTTCTGTCCTGACTGTATGAACATCTGGGAAGAACTCTTCCTTGTGAAGTTGAAGGCTTTCACGGCTGGCAACCATAGTTTTCTGTGGGTTTGGGGGGCTGTGTGGCCGTCTTCTGGAAGAATTTATTCCTGATGTTTCGCCAGGAGATGCCAGTCGCAATTGCAGGCGAAACGTCAGGAATAAATTCTTCCAGAAGACAAGTCCCCACTGTTCATTAATAACTAATGTAGGATAATGTGGAGAGCCAGTGTGGGGTAGTGGTTTGCGCGTGGGACTGTGACTCTGGAGATCAGGGTTCAAATTGCAGCTTGGCGACAGAAACTCACTGGATGACCTTGGACAAGTCACACTCTCCCAACCTCTGTGGATGGCAATGGCAAACCCTGAAGAAACATGACAGGAAAACCCCATGATAGAGTCACTTTAGGGTCACCATAAGTCAGAAACATCTTGAAGGCACACCACCACAACAGTGTGGCACAAAATGGGATTAGCCAAAGGGCATTGGACTGCATTCCAGGTTAGCATCTTGGCTAACAGTGTGGCACAGTGGATGGGGCCCTTTCCCCTCCCTTAGCCAAGATGCTAACCTGGAATGCAGTCCGATGCCCTTTGGCTAATCCCATTTTGCAAGAGAAGCCAAGAGAAGAGGGCTGATGGCTCCCTGGCTCCATCCAGAGCAGCTGGGACCCAAAGGGCTTCTGCAGCCCCCTTCATCCTTACAGGTGGTTTCCCTCTTGGTCCCACTAGCCCTCCTGGACCACTTTCCAGCTCTGCCTAGGGCTTTGCCCTGGTGCATCTCCCTTTTGCCC